GAGTTAGGTCCAACACTGCTCTCTGGTGTCTTCGAGGCACCAGGAGCTGCTCCACTTCTTCCTCTTGCATTTGGAGTACTCTATATAACAGGTCCCTTCTTATCTCAAAGTATGGCCCTGGGCCTTTGTGTTTCCCCTCCACTGGAACCCCATTCACCTCAACTACCTCCCTTCTAATATTGTCATACAGCGGATCATTGGCTTGGTCTTGCCCAAAATTTCTAAATGAGGGCCCAATATGCTCAAAATCAAGGGGACCTGTTTCTGTTTCCCCTCCAGGGTTGGCCTCAGCAGAACTGGGTCCAGCTTCTGGCTCGTCAACAACCTGAGTTGCCCCCCTGCCAGCTGGACAAGACCGCCTCTCTACAAGCGCAATTCTGTTCCCAACTTTTTGTCTGCCCTCCTTTATCGCCTAGTTTTCTGGGGCTTCCCAGTTGCAGAGAACAAGTCCTGGGCAAATTCAGAGAAAAATGGGAGAGGGCTACCTACTGGGGCCACAGTATCACTCCTGGGGTCACTACCCTCCTCGGACTCACCTACCGGAAGTAGATTCCTGAACCCTGGGAAGTCTCATCCTATAAGGACCGGATATGGGAGTTAAGGGACCACCCCTTCCGTCACCCTTGTGGTACTCCCCTGAACTTCAATTTGGACAGGGATGGTTGGATAGTAGTTGACAGTGCCATGTACATAGGTTATCCCTGTGTGTTTGGCCTAAGACAGCTGGTCCTGTCCCACTAGTTTCCCTGAGACCAGCGTGACGGCACTCCCGGAATCCACCAATGGAACGGTCTCTATGCCATTCATCTTAACTGGCCGCGTGTACCTATGTGGGGTCATCACAACCCCCACAAGGTTGATTAAGCCACATGGGCCCGCATGATCACCCAGATTGATTGCATGGGCTCCTCAGTGTTAGGACATAGGGCTGTGATATGCCCTAGTTCTCCACAAGCATAACACTTATATCCCGTTTGGGATATCCCCCTATTCTTTGGGCTATCGGGTCTTAACCCACGACCCTCTCACCCCAGTCCCCTAAATCCCTTTGCAGACTTTGGCCGCTCTTCAGCATCCTTTCTCCCTAACAAAGTTCTGCCTGACCCTTTGGGAGTCTGGTCTTTCAGGGCGGGGACTGATCTCTTGATTCGGCACATTTCTTCCCCGGTAGTCTGAGAAAGTTCCTTGGCCATTAGCTGTCTCTCTACGAGGGCAACTAAATCGTCATAAGAGGAAGGGTCATTTTGGCTAACCCATCCTCGTAGGTCTGGTGGTAATCCTCTCATGAACCTGTGCAGCACTATGATTTCTATAATCTTCTCCGTGCTGTGGATCTCGGGGCGCAGCCACTTCCGCGTTAGATGGATCAGATCGAACAGTTGTGACCTCGGCACTTTTCTGTCCTGGTACCTCCACTCATGGAACTTCTGGGCCCTTATAGCTGTCGTCACCCCGGATCTCGCCAGGATCTCTGCCTTCAACTGGGGTAATCTGTGGCTGCTTCTACTGCCATGTCATAGTAGGCCTTCTGGCCTTCCCCACACAGGAAAGGGGCAAGGCCCACTGGTCTCAGGGCCAGGCCTCATGTAGGGCCGTTCTCTCAAAGGTGAGAAGGTACGCCTCCACATCATCTTCCACCATCATCTTTTGCAGGTAACTGCTGGCCCTTAGGGGTCGTGTCCCATTAAGACCATGTGTCAGAGCGGTCATGGCCTTCAGCTGGCTCATGACCTCCTGCAGGGTGGCTCGATCCTGGGCTGCCTGGCTTATCAGCAGCTGATTTGTCGTACCGATTCCTGTTGGATGGTCATCTGGGCCCTGGTAGCCTCTTGTTGTTATGCTGTGGCCTGCATCAGTGCCCTCACTATGTCATCCATTTTGGGGCGGGGGGTGATTTACCTTGCCCTGGGATGGTTCTCAGCGCCAATGCAATCCCACTCCTAACACCACATGTGGCAAGGCACCCCTTCTGCCTTGTCGGACTTAGCACTCCCTCCTCTGGCAGGGACAGGGCCTGGGGTACATCAACCCCACTCTGGAGCATGTCTGTCTTCCCTCTTCAGGATTTGTTTCTCAGAGTCTTCCTGGTAGGTCTCGGGGCAGGCCTGAAGAGTGCTCCTCTGCCAAACAAAGGGAAACAAGTCTACAACGCACCGAAGCAAAAGGGGAATACCTTTCCTTGGCCCCCTCACTGGGGGTGTCCTGTCGCTGGCCCCAGGGTGTCAAGAATTATGTGGACAAGTTAGAGAAAGTCCAGAGAAGAGCAACAAAAATGATTAAAGGTCTAGAAAACATGACCTATGAGCGAAGATTGAAAAAAATTGGTTTGTTTAGTCTAGAAAAGAGAACACTGAGGGGGGACATGATAACAGTTCTCAAGTACAGAAAAGGTTGTTACAAGGAGGGAGGAGAAAAATTATTCTCCTTAACCTCTGAGGACAGGACAAGAAGCAATGGGCTTAAATTGCAGCAAGGGAGGTTTAAGTTGAACATTAGGAAAAACTTCCTAACTGTCAGGGTGGTTAAGTGCTGGAATAAATTGTCCAGGCAGGTTGTACAATCTCCATCATTGGTGATTTTTAAGAGCAGGTTAGACAAACACCTGTCAGGGATGGTCTAGATAATACTTAGTCCTGCCATGAGTAGACTGGACTAGATAACCTCTCAAGGTCCCTTCCAGTCCTATGATTCTGTGATTATGGGAATGTCTTCATTGCAGAGTTAGCCCGAGCTCTGAGTTTGGTGTTGCACCCCCTACGGCATCCGCACACAAAACCCTCTCACCCAAGTCTACTGTTGCTTTAAACCCAGGCTATCTGACCTATCTGGGGCTATAGGCTAATATTACTCAGGCTAGTAACCTACCTATGCTGTAGTGAGGACACAGGTTAAACCAATCCAGTGCTGATAGTCCTCCAATGCCTTCCTACAATTCCCTCTGTGTGCCCAGAAAGGACAGACAAGTTCTCCCACAATTCACTGGGAAACAGTCATAGAGTGGTTCAACTCACTGCAGTGCAAAGAACTCTGGGATGTGCCCCTGGGAGTCCTAGTGATGCAGGTGGGTGCGTGAAGCACCACTGAGCACACAGTAATGCTGTAGGGCTTTGCAGTATGACCACCCACACCTGGGATAATGCTGCACTGAAAACACACCCTAAGAGGGTTACATGAAGGTTAACAAAGAGTAAACACTCAAACATCAATAACCAACACCAAACTGTCAAGAAAACAGAGGAATCAGAAACAATACAGCATTGTATGATGGAACAGGAAGATATAAGGAGCTCAGGCTGTAGACTGAATCTTCCTGTTACTCTGCTGCCAGGAATGTTGAAATTCTGTGTCTGCTGCAAACTGACTCCACAAAGTAATTCTGAGCCTCTGGGTCAGTAAAAACTCCACACTTCCTGCCATCCCCTTTCCAAAGTTTGACAGGGAAAAGAACTGAACGTCAGCTGCTGCCTCTTGGCCTTGCACTACATAACAGCAAAAACTCCCAACAGGGGTAATTTCCACAAATATTTCCATAAATATTTTCAGGGAAATGGGGTGTGCTTTTATGCAACATTGGGGCCATTCAACTTCAAAAAAGACTTTGCACTAAAAACACAAATGTGTGTATTTTTGTAATTTTTTTAATGTGAAAATAACCCTTTTGCCAAGAAATTTGTGTTAAGCGAAATTTTGAGGATGAGCTGCTTGATCTGTTTCTGAAACAGAACAATCCTGCGTTGGCTGCAGGGAGGCAGACAGGTCTTCTGCAGCTTTATTTATTGGCACTAGAGCTGGTCAGGAATAAAACCATGCCAATGTGGCTCCAAGTGGATGATGTTTAATCCCATTGTTGTGATAACTCTGGAGCACAGGAATCTCAAACATCAAACAACTATTTTCCAGTGTTGCCTCTTGTTTTTGTGTGGTGAGGTGGGGAGAGCTGGGCTTTGTGTCCTCTTTCAAAACAAAAGGAGGGGATTCCAGTTAAAGAGCAGGGACCCTATTTTCCTCTTGCAGGATCTGAGTAACTTCCATTGAAATTACTTGTATCCTGACTGGGGAAAAACTGAGATCCAGGAGTGCTAGCAAATACCTAGGGACTTGGTGGAAGCACATTGTTTGAGTAATGGATAAAGCCTTGAAGAATAGACTGCAGCAGACATTCAGCATTGGCTACAACAGGGAGAGCAGTGATGAGCTGCCAAAATCTTAACAACCGGTTCCCTCCTCACCCCACGAGAGGGTCGTGGCCCGCCCCCGCCCCCCGGGACTCCTGCCCCATCCAACCCCCGCATTTCTTGACGCCCCCTTCCCCCCCACCCCCCGGGACCCCTGGGCTAGGTGTGAATGACCTAGATCTGTTTCTAGCTCTGGTTTCCCTATTCTTCAGTCTCATCATCATCATATTCAAAAGTCAAGACGGTGGTGAAGCGAGGGAGACGTGCTCTACTCTGTTCACTTTCTATTCCAGGAATGTGCACACAGATTTCAGCAAGGATCAAGCATCAAAATATGCATGTAAAGTTAATCCACTGCAAACAGCTTGTCAACCTGGTAGGTGAATTCCTCCAGAATCAAGGGGGGAAAAAACTCAAGCCTTAAACTAGTTTAACATGCTCGTTCTGCTTTGGGTCATTTCCTGCTTCCCTGTGCCAAGCATCAGTGTTAGAAGCAAGCCAAGTCACTGAAGACATTTTGCATGGATGATTAGAAAACTGCAACAAGTGCTGCAATTTGGAGGACAGGGAGCTGGAGTGGATTGTGATAGGTTCTGGGGATGGTCTTGGAAAAAGTGGGATGGACTAGGATCCCCACCCCTTGCTGGGCTTATAAAGCCATCAGCAACTCAGGTGAGAGAAACGGAGTCAGGGAGGAGTTGAGGAACAGGCTCTTTCATTGTGCAACTCTGAGCAAGGAATGTCCAAGGGCTATTAAAATCTCAGACAACGTGCTGTCCCTTGGGTGATTATATCTCTGCATTTCCCTTGTCTCCGTGGACAAAGATGCTGCTGAAATTTTTTCTGAGTGCCCTTGTCAGTCACCTAACAGCTGCATATGCTCCTGAACTGTAAGAAATACCACGTTCTTTACTAATGATATGTGTTTGCTGTGAGTCATTCATTTATTGAAGGGTTTGGTGACACAGAAAATACTGCTGCTGCTGCCACCTTTTATATCTGGAGGCCTAGGCTGAATTCTAACTTAGATGGGATGATTTAGCTTGGGTTGGTCCTGCTTTGAGCAGGGGGTTGGACTAGATGACCTCCTGAAGTCTCTTCCAACCCTAATGTTCTATGATTCTATGAAATGGGTTGATTGCTTCTCATCTGAGCACAAAACAGACTTTTTACACCTTGCTATTACTGTTCCCTTTCCTATGCCTATAAGCTCAGACATGTTACATTTTGTGGTAGTTTAGCAAGGTGTGGTGTGATAGGTATGGGCTTCCAGGATTCATAACATGGGGGACTGCAGAGCATGATTGAGGGGCATCGGCAGAGCTGTGTGGGAAGCCCAGGAATAGCAAAGCGGCTGCGAGGGATTGTTGGCAATTAGCAGAGCTGTCTGGGGTCCTATGTTAGATCTGAACCTATAATGAAAAAGTCCTTTACTTCTCCATAACCATTGTGTGACCTCGCCCAAACAGGGTGTTCCTTCCTATCTGCCCCCTTGTCTCTTGAATGAATTTGTGTTGTTTGATTTCCATAGACAGTACATCCTGATGGTGCCATCAGTGCTGCAGAGCAGCTCTCCGGATCAGGCCTGCCTGCAGCTCTACAACCTCAATGAATCGGTGTCTGTGAGTGTCGTCCTGGAGTACAGCGGTTCCAACACCACTATTTTTGAGCAGCCTGTGAGAGGAAATTACTTCTTCCAGTGCATCAGATTCATGGTACAGACTTTAATTTACATTTCAATAAAGAAAAAAAAGTAATCATGGAAAATGTGTATGATCAAACAAGTGATCTTACAGAATTAGCGATGGGAGAGGAAAGGGTAAAGTAGAGGAGGGAGACTAAGGGAGAAATAAGAGCTGGAAGGAATGAGAAATGGAGGGGGGGAGGAGGCAGGGGAGAGCTGCAGTGTGAGAGAAGAGAGGGATATGGGAAGATAGAATCAGTATAGATCTGAGAAAGAGACAGAGCTGGCAGTGGAACTGAGGTGTGGGGTGCATCTATAGTACACTTCATGCTGCAGGTAAACTGCTCCTGGAGGGAATGGTCTAAGCTGAATATTCTCCCCTTATATTTTGCATCCCTCCCAGGCTCCTCGTGCCACCTTTTCCCCCTTGGCTTTCATCACTTTCTCTGCCAAAGGGGCCACAGTCAGGCTGACAGAGAGGAGGTCGGTGGCGATTCAGAATGTGGACAGCGTTGTCTTTGTCCAGACAGACAAACCCATCTACAAGCCAGGACAAACAGGTGAATGTGGATACTGCTTTACTTAATGTCATTTCCTCTGGGAACCAATATCCTGAGCTAGAGTGAGAGAGAGAACTGCTCTGCAAAATGCAAGTCAGAGCAGACAATGTTGTGGATTTGGGCTGACTACTCAGCACCTTAAAGTAAAATCATTGCTAATGTCTGCAGTGGAGCTGAGGAAGCCACCCTCAGACACAGGAGAGCACCTGGTGGGTGACTGTCAAAATCCCAGCTCACTCCCCAGTCTTTATTCACTCTCTTTCCACAGTCACTCCCTTTGTCCCCTACTCTCACTGCTGCTGCCTTGTTATGGCTCCCAGGCACTCGTAGCCATGAATAGATGCTTAGAGCACTGCCCAATGGCTTTCTAGCTATAGTTCCACATCTGTGGCCATGGCTGGGCTTTCCAGCTTCAAGTACATGGTGAGCACGCAGTAGGAGAGGCCGTGAGGGAAGGTCCTCACACAGAATTACCTGCTGTGCAGACACTGGCGAATCACTTCTGAATCGGGCAAACTGCTCTAATCAGAGATGACTGCTTCTTAATAACACTTGCACTTTTATGTGCTCAAAGCCCTGTGCAGAGATTAACTAGATTAATGCTGACATACCTCTACGGGGGAGGTGGGCACATTTTACAGTGGAGAAATGGAGATAAAAAAGGGGATTTGCCTAAAGCCACACAGGGAGTCAGTAACAGAACTCAGGCTATCTGACTACCAACCCACTCCCTTTCCTTTAGTGGGCTAGACAAACCTCTGGAGAAAAGCATTCCCTGCTGTTAGGCCAGTTCAGGGAATTCAGTCCCATGGAAAGTTATACCATGGAAAGTGTCTCGAATGAAAGGATGGAGCCGGAACCCTCTTCACTGTGGGCACAGATCCTAGCTGTGATTTACCTGTTCCTTTTTCAAGAGGGGAGTGCTGGAAAACTAGCTGAAGTGGGGGTATGGACCAAACTGGAGCTCAGAAGATCGAGGAGAGCTAATGTTGATCTCTTGCCCATGTCTTTTCAGTGCTGTTTCGAGTTGTCGCTCTCGATACCCATTTTAGGCCTGTTCAGGAGACGGTGAGTGTGGCCAGAGACCGGAATTATCCAGGCGCCCCACCTGGATGGTAAATTGGTGGGTGTTACCCCATCAGCCCCAGTCCAACCTTTAAATATGCACTTGTTGGACAGAATTGGAGCTGAATTTCTGCAGAAACTGAAGGAGAAATATTCATTTGAACTGGAACCTTAACACTGCACATACAAAGTCCTGCCCTTACATGCAGCAGCCACACAGAGCAGCACTAGCATGTAGACCGCTGTGCACCTGGCCCAAGAGCCCTCCTGCTCCTGCTGGGCAAGGAGCTTCAAGGAGAGTCTGTGCCAGGTGATCTTTACTGCTCCAACAAGCAATTTCACGTGGCCCACTCCTACTGTTCCCATTTAGCATGTGCCGCCCATGGCGACAGGCTCACAAGCCATCTGCAAGGGGAGAGAATCTAGACACTGCCACCAACAGACTATCTGTCTTGGGGATATTATACTTATTGCAACACGTGGAGGGGTCCTGGCTGGCTTCTTGACTGTGGAGAATAGGCTTCCTGCACCTTATTCTCACCCCTTACCTGTGCAGGAGAGAGCAGGATTTTGCTCTGTTGAAAGGTGCTAGATAATCTGAGAGTGTGGATGGATGAGACAGAGGAGGCCTGATTCTGATCTTAGGTACAGCATTGTAACAGTAACTGTACTCCTGGTTTGCACCAGTACAAGTGAGATCAGAATCTGTTCCAGGCAGGAGCGGCTCCAGGCACCAGCCCACCAAGCACATGCCTGGGGCGGCAAGCCGCGGGGGACAGCCTGCCGGTCGCTGTGGGGGCAGCAGTCAGGGAGCCTTCGGCGGCATGCCTGTGGGAGGTCTGCCAGTCCCACGGCTTCAGCGGCAATTAGGTGGCGGGTACGCCGAAGCCACGGGACCGGCAGACCTCCCACAGGCACGCCACCGAAAGCCGCCTGACTGCCATGCTTGGGACAGCAAAATACATAGAGCCACCCCTGGTTCCATGGTGTCTTATGCCCTCATCTCCTCTTCCTTTTTATATGTTATCTTCAGCATTTAGGGCCAAACCTTGTGGTTCTTACTCAGATAAAATTCCTACTGAACTCAGTGAAAATCTTGCTTGAATACTCACTGTAGATTTGGGCCCTTAACATCTAAAATTGTTTTTAAAATTGTTATTCATTCAGTGCTGAAACAACTATTATTGCTTCCTCAAACACTTACAGTCTCTTTCCCTGGTCTCTTTTTCAGTATCCCTTGATCACCATTCAGGTAAGAGACTTGCTTTTTAAAATGTGTCACCTATAACCGTGAAATCCTGAGTGTGTGTGTGAGATATACTTAACTAGTCACATTCTGCTCTCAGATCCACTGGTAGAAATGCACCATATTTCTATGGAATCCAGTGGAGCAAGTCCAGCTTTACAAGCAGAGTTTAGCACAATAGTAGTTAAAATTGTCCTGTTCATATGGTATTTCTATTTCCTCTCCTTCCTATCAAGAGTTCCAATTGCTTTGGTTTATAGTTTGCATAACTTGCCCCTGCTAAAGCAAGGAACAATTGTAGATAATGGATGCAATTACTAGCTGCTTTGGACCATGAAGTGTTTTAGAAATGATATGGCATGTTGTGCTTTTGTTAATAAGTGAGAAAGTTTCAGTTCCCTTCCAAGCATGCATGCCTGCAAGATTTCACTTGTACTGTGAAGTCCAGCCATTAATTGTTGCATACAGTGAAATTTTAAACATTACAGAGTTTGACATTGTTCACTAACAAGCACAAGGCAATTGCTAGAAAGTCTTTTTTTTAACCAATGTAGAATGAGAGAGAACAAAAGGCTATGGGAGCCCAAATAACTGTGTGAGGGGTGGGGTTGTAGAGTGTCTCTTCTCTCCTTCCAGTTGGGGAAAACTGGGACAATGGAGGGGCAGGATGTGGGGAAGGGTTTGTGTGTGGGATGAGATAGGGAAGAAAGATCCCCCTTCTTCACCCTTTCCCACCCCTTCTTCATAACAGCATGGAAAGCTGGAACCTTCTGCAGTATAGGGCAGGGTGGGAGAATGTAGGGTTTATCTATTGGTGAAACGGGATAGCAATTCTTCCCTAATTCACAGGGATGTGTTGGTTAACAGGGTGCAAGCAAACAATATGCATTTTAATCAGGGCCGGCTCCAGGGTTTTGGCCGCCCCAAGCAGCCAAAACCAAAAAAA